AAAAATTTTTTTGGGAATTTTTTTTTTTTTTTTTTTTAATTTTAAAAATTTCCAAAATATTTTTGGGACTTTTTAAAAGGGCCAAAAACCCTTTGGGGGGCCCCAAATTTTGGTTTTTTTTTAAAAAAATGGGGGGGCTATTTTTTTTTAAAAAAATTTTTTTGGTAATTGGAATTTTTTAAAAAAAAAAAAAAAAAAAAAAAAAAAAAAAAAAAAAAAAAAAAAAAACAATTTGATGCATACCAATAATTTTGAGGCGGAAGGTCTTTCTTCTGGCTCTTTTTGTAAACAATCAGAAACAAAAGATTTAAATTCTTTTGAAAAATAATCTGGAACTGTTGGTACACTTTCTTTAACAATACAATCCAAAAGTACCCAAAAACCAATACCACCATTACTACTAAGACTACTAAAACCATTACTATTATTTACACTATTATTAAAATCAGTACTATTATTCAAACTATTATTACTATTACTATTACTATTACTACTATTACTATTACCACTACTACCATTACTATTTATTTGTTGTTGAGTAATAATTAATTGTTGTGGATTGCCATATGGGAATTTGCCAATTGCACACTCTAAAATTGTTAAACCTAAACTCCAAATATCAGAATCAAAAGAATATGATCTACCACTAATTCTTTCAGGTGACATATAAGTTACGGTACCAACCCAAGTTACAGCTTTTGATAATGTGTGTTGAAGTTGACCACTTACACCTAAATAATAAAAATAAGTCAATGATTTTTAATTTTTTTTTTTACCATTAATTATTTTCTACATACCAAAATCAGAAATTTTAGAGTCACCTTTACTGTTTACTAAAATATTTGATGGTTTAATATCTCTATGGATTAAATGTAATTTTCTATGAAGATAAACCAGACCTTGAAGTACTTGATATGCTATTCTACCTAAAACTGGCTCTGGTATAGTTTTAGATCTCTTCAAGATATCAGTAAGAGAACCCAACTCCATAAATTCTAAAGCAATAAATACAGATCCTTCAGTATAGAAAGCATCATAAAACGATACGATATATGGGCAATAGGTTTTATGAAGAGTCTTTAATTCTAGAATAATTTGTTTTCTAATGTTTTCTTGGATATCCAATGTAATAACCTTTAATGCGAAATATGTGTCAGATGTTTGATGATATGCTAATTTTACAATACCTCCAGCTCCTCTTCCAATAACCTTTAAAATTTGTAAATCTTTTAAATCTAATGTTAAATTTTGATCATACTATTAAAAAAAAAAAAAAAAAAAAAAGAAATTAATATATAAAATGGTAAGGTTTAAAAAAAAAAAAGAAAATAGTTACCTGTGGTAATGCTGGAGAATTATAATTGTAGTTATCATTATTGCTATTGCTATTGCTGTTACTATTATTATTCATAATCATATTATTATTATTATTATTATTATTATTATTATTATTATTATTATTATTATTATTATTATTATTATTATTATTGTTATTATTATTATTATTATTATTATTAAAACGATTATTATTATAAAAGTTATTATTGCTATTATTATTATAATAATTATTCATGTTATTAAGATTACTGTTGATGGCATTAAAATTTATATTATTAATATTTATATTATTGGTTGTAGTGGTCCCTATTGATGATGTTGGAGTTGTTGGTATTGAATTACAATCAAAAGTTGATGAAAAATTAGTTTGATCATTTATTTGCATATCATTATTTTCAGCTGCATTACGTGATAATGGATTTAGGTTTGAGTGAAGTTTTTTATTTTTTTCATTTATAGGACTATTCTTTGGACTTTCACCCTTGATCAATAATCCCTTTTTATTTATTGCTAAATCACCTTCTTTAAAAGTACCACTTGTAGTTCTAAAAATAAAAAAAAGTTAATATTTTTTTTTTAAAAAATAAATATTTTGATTATTATTATTATAATTTTACATACAAAGAATAAGAAATTTTTTCACTTGAAGGTGTTTCAATTTTTAAATTAACTTTTTTGGACATTTTTATTGTTTTTGGTTTTTTATTTTTGGACTTTTTTTTTTTTTTTTGGACTTTTTTTTTTTGTTGAACAAATTAATTTAATTTAAGGCTATCTATTTAATAATATAATAAAAAAAATAGAATAAACCTTAATGGTGTATAAAAATATTTTTTTATATTAAAAATTTAAAAATATTTTAAAAAAATTTTAATTTGAAAAAAAATAAAAAAAAAAACATTTGAAAAATTTTAAAAAAAAAAAAATAAAAAAAAAAAAAAGTTTTTTTTAATTTATTTTTTTTTAATTTCAACACCATTTTTTTTTTATAATAATTACAATCTAAACTTTTTTTTTTTTTTTTTTTATATATTAGTAATAGTAATAGTAATAGTAATATTAATATTAATATTAATACAATAATAAAAAATGAATCAAATAACAAATAATAATAATAATAAAAATATATTTGATTTAACATTTAATATTAATCAATTACCAACACATTTAATAAGAAAAATATTATCATACTATTTTAATCATTGTTTGTCAATGTATCATTTTATAGAAAAAAAAAATAAAACTTTTACCGGTTATAAATTAAAATTTAGATGGATGGATTTATGTTTAGTTTGTAAATTTTGGATGGAAATGGTTATGCCTTATCTTCCAGATACGTTTTATTTAATGGACTCTCTTCAAAAACTCGAAACCTATTTAAATCTAGTAGAATATGGTGGTACATTCCCAAGAAAGTTCCTAAAGCCAACATTATTGCGTGTGGTTAAACCTCCATCTAATTTAAAGAAGCATCCATTTCATATAAACTCTTTAGGGATCTATATTAACCGTTATCAAATGCCACATCAAGATGACTCAATTATACCAGAGGTCATTTACCAACAAATATTTAGACTTTCACCAGATTTAAAATCATTCTCTTTTCAAACAGAAAACCATTCAATGTCCGATCTCTACTATATTTTAAAGACTATCAACGATCCATCTATAACTTTAAATCTATTAACCCAATTAGATTTTTCAAATTGTTGGTTCAGTACTAAAATTTTCGAACAGCTTTGTCAATTTATTGAAACAAATAAACTTTAAAAATTTTAATATTAAATAATTCACCAATTTAAAATTTCAAAAATATGAAGAATATAATAATTCCTTTGGATATTGATTTTTAATGATAATAATAGTAGTGATACCAATAACAATAAATGACGATAATAATAATAATAATAATTTTAATAAAATTAATTTTTTAAATAGTTTAAAAAAAAAATAATTCAATAGAAAAATTAAAATTAAATTCAGTAAAATTATTTAGTGGTTCAAATGAAAAATTAATTGGTGGTACAATTTTAGATTTAGTTCAATATATATTTGTTGAATCTAGTATCAACTCTTTCGAAATCTTGGATACACCAATCACTTTTGGCCTCAAACAAAATCAACTATCAAAATATTCAACATCAACCTTTGATAAAATTTTGACTCCAATGCAAACCAATCTTGAACATATAGCCGTAACAATTCGCTCCAATGATCAATTTTTAAGTCTTCTTACAAACTCTATTAAATCCAGTAAAAGTCTTAGAGAATTTAACATGTCGGGTTCTGTTTTAACTCAAGTTAGTGAAATTTCAAATTTATTCAGTTCGCTTCAACATTGTGAAACTCTTTTAAAAATAAATCTATTTGATTTAGCTCTAAACTATGAAAATAATGGCAACCAACAACCAATGTTTCAAAATATAGGTGCCGAGAATGAACAGGATTGGAATAATCAAGATGATGAAGTAGATAATGTAGTAAACTCAAATGCATTTCTTCAGCAAAACAACACTATTTTACCCAACCAATTTGATAAATTTAGCTTTCTTTATGGTACTCAATCTCTAACTTCAATTAATGTATCATCAATTCATCCAGTTAAAGAAGAAGAAATGATATCTTTGTTTGAAAATTTAAGATACTCATCACAACTAAGAGAACTTTATGCAAAGAGAACCCGTTTAACCCCCAAATGTCTGACTGCATTAACAAATTTAATTCGTGAACCAAACTCATCATTAGAACTACTTCATTTGGGTTATAATAATTTCTCTGGTTCAATTTCAATTTTATTAATGGCTTTTCAACTATCTAAAACCTTAACAGATATAGACATATCATCAAATCAACTCGGTAATAATGAAGGTTTAGCCATTTCCCAATTTATTAAAGAAAGCTCCCTTGTTAGACATTTAAATATCTCTAATAGTGACTTTAAACTTAGTGCTCTAAATCAACTTGGTACTGCTCTATCTATTAACAAATCTTTAGTATCCCTAGATCTTTCAAATATTCATTTGGGTATGTTAGAAGTAACCTATATTATTGATGGTTTAGTACAACATCCAACCATATCACTCTTAAATCTTTCAAATTGTGGTTCAAAAGAAATGATAAAAACTTTAGAAGAAACTTCACAGTTACGTTGTAATATAATTTCTTCTTTTAACAATTTTGTTTAAATTAAATTAATTTAAATTAAATTTAAATTTAAATTTAAATATCTGATCTAAATTTAAAAAGATTTGTTATTTGAAAATTAAAAAATTAAAAAAATAAATAAAAAAATAAAATAATTAGAGTTAAGATTATCCAGATAATTCTATTTATATTGTATTAATTATAATTAATTTATTTGTTTTATTTTTTTTATAATAAAATAATTTATGGGTATCATTTTTATTTTTTTTTCAAATTGATCAATATTTTTTTTTAAAAATAATTTTTAAAAAATATTTTTTTGAAATCTTTCCTTAATTAAAATTAGCCCATTTGCTCTGGAATATCTATATATTTCTATGTGTATTTGAATGTTTAGATCAAAAGTTACAAATATAAAATTATTTCTATTTCTCTAAATTTATATATTATTTTTAAAAAAAAAAAAAATTTTATATTTTTAAAATTAAATAATGTTTTATTTTATATTTACATTTTGATTACCCTTTGGTTTGAGTTATGTATAATTGGATGTCATTATATCTTGAATATTTGAATGATAAAACAATTGTTTTTTTTTTATTATTTTTAAATAATAAAAAGTTTAAAATTTTGATTAAAAAAAACAGAATTGTGTGAAATTGTAGTGTCAAGAAAAAACGATAATTTTTTTTTTTTTTTCTTAAAAAATAAAAAAAAAATTATTGTAAATGCAAACAAAGAAAACAGGGTTTGTAGTTATATATTTATTTTTTTTTACAGAGTGAATTGTCAGAAACTGTTAAAAAAAAAATAATAAAAAAAAAAAAAAAATTAATTATTATAAAAAATATTTTTTAAATTATTTTTTTTATTTTTTTTCATTTATTTTTTTTTTATTTTTTTCTTTTTTATTTTTTTTTTTCTTTTTTTAATTTTATTTTTAACCAAGCATTTTTCTATATTTATAATTTAAATAATTTTTCGAAAATTCACACACACAGATTATTTATTTAATATTAATAAATAAACAAAAAAATTTTATTTTTTATTTATAAATAATATTTAAATAAAATTTTTATTTTTATTTTTATTTTTATTTTATCCGTCACATTTCAAAATTTAAAATGTCATCTTTAAAAAACTCATTAAATAATTCAATTGGAAATTCTAGCGAACCAATTAATGTTGTTGTACATAGTGACAACTCGGATCCATCAGAAACTAGATTTGAAATTCCAACTAAACATGGTAAATTAGTATGTTTCCAAAGAAAAGGTTTAAACGAAAGCCCAAATATGCCAACAATTATTAGTTATCATGATTTAGGTTTAAATCGTAGGTATTATAAAATTATAAAATAATAAATTTAATCAAATAATTTGTGTTTAAATAACTTACAAATAAAAAACAATATTATTTTTTAAAATTTAAAAAAAAAACGAAAAAATTTATTTTTAGATTCAACATGTTTTTCACCATTTTTTAATCATCCAAATATGAAAAATATTTTACCATATTTAAATATTATTCATATCGATGCACCAGGACACGAATTTAATTCAGAATCAATCCCATCATCACAATATCCAACTATTTATGAAATGGCTGAAGATATTCAATATGTTGTTGATTACTTTAAGTGAGTACCATTTAAAAAAAAAAAAAAAGAAAAAAAAAATTAAAAATATTAATATAAAAAAAATTGTTAATATTTTTATTTATATTTTAGAATTAAAATGTTTATTGGTTTAGGTGCAGGTGCAGGTGGTTGCGTTTTAACTCAATATGCTACCTTATTCCCAAAAACAATTATGGGTTTAATCCTTGTTGGTTCAGTAATTAAATCATTTAGTTGGTTAGATTGGGTTAAATCATGGGTAGAGTTAACTACTTTACCATCATTAAAAAATCCAACTGGTGTTAGAAATTATCTTATAAATCATTATTATGCAGATGTAAGATTTTTTTTATTTTTTTATTTTTTTTATTTTTTTTATTTATAAATATTAATTTTTTTATTTTAAAAACTTAGAATTTAGAAGAAACAAATCCAGATTTATTAGAAAATATTAAAAGAGAAATGTTATTAATTAATCCAGATAATTTATACCATTATGTCCATTCATTTGTAAAGTAAGTGAAGGTTTATAGTTTTTTTTTTATTTTTATTTTTTTATTATTTTAAATTTATATTAATAAAATTAATTTCAATAGGAGAGAAGATATTAAAGAAGATCAAATTAAAGCATTAAGCTGTAAAGTTTTATTAGTCGTTGGAAAAGATTCGAGTTACAGAGAAGATATTATTGATTTATTTTCTCATTTTAATCCAAGAAACTCCACAATCCTCCAAGTACAAGATTGCGGCATTCTTGTTACTGCAGAAAAACCAGGTGATATTATAGAGCCATTTAAACTTTTTATGCAAGGTATTGGTTATTTATTAGATTATTATCAAAATATTGACCAATCACAAAAATAACAATAGTTTTTTTTTTTTTTCAAATGTAAAAAAAAAAAAAAAATTATAATATATAAATAAATAAAACCAATTAAAAATAAAATTTTTAATTACAATGTTAATCATTCATAAATATTATTTTTTTTTAAAAAAATATTAATAAAAAAAAACAAATAATGAATGAATTTAAAAAAAAACAAAAAAACTTTTTTTATTGTCACCAACATTATTTTTTATTTATCTTTTTTAAAAAAATATATTATTATTTAAAATATTTGTAATTTGACCTAAATTATTTGATGAAATTGAACAACCATTTGGGTTACATAAACTAAGACTTGGTTTATCATATACAGGTTTTAAATTGATTAAATTTAAATTTTTAGTTTTTTCATTAAAGAATTGAACTTGTTTTTGATCACTAATATCTTTGACTGTTATAAACTTGTTTGGGATAAAAAGTGAGTTTACTTGTTTGAGAATTTGTTTAAGGTCATTCTTTGTTTGATTGTATTCTTTACTATTTATAACAATATTAATAGAGTTTAGAGTATTCTCTTTTTCTTTGCAGAGGAGCATGGAGCACATCATTTGTGGCATTACAATCGGTGCTTTTTCTAAATATAATGAACATGAGTCGAGTGTTGCAAGTGCTTTTTCTTTATACTCTTGATTGTAGGTTACAGAATATAGTTTTAAAAGATTTGAAACTGAAATCGATTGGCATGAGTTTTCAGCGCCGTCGTGCTCTTCCTTTAAACGATGAAGAATAGATTTATCATCACCACTTGTCGAGAAATATCCACCTGGAAGTTGTGAGTCATAAAAGAGTTGATCTTGTTTTTCTTGTAATTCGATTGCCCATTCTAAATATTCAATTTCAAAGGTACATTGATAAAGGTCCAATAACCCTTGAATTAGAGATGCATAGTCATCAGCGAATGCATGGATCAAACTTGGGCTATCCTTAAAGTTTCTGATTAGAGTTTTGGTGGCTTGATTGTATAAATTATCCTTAATAAATTTGGTGGCTCTTTTTGCAGACTCTAAATAGGACTCTTCATCTGGGAAGATTTGATAGGCTCTGGCAAATGCAGAAATCATTAATCCATTCCAGGCAACAATGATTTTGTCATCTAATGGTGGTCTTGGTTTAAACGTATCACGATAGGTTAAAAGTTTCTTTCTTGATGATTCGAGTGATGATTCTATTTCTTTAGTTGATTTCTTGAAATAGTTGGCAGCATCTTGATTACTTTTAATTCGCATAATAATATTTTTATCAATAAATTCATTATGTGGGTCATCTTTTGGATTAACATTACCATTTTCTACTAAACCATAAATGAATGAATAGATTTCAATGGCTTCTTTATCATTTTCTAATGCTTTTTTGATATCTTCAAAGTTCCAAATATAAAATGCACCTTCTGACTTTTCATTGCTTTCATTAAAACTATCAGCATCTTCTGCTGAAAAAAATCCACCATCTTTGTGTGTCAAATAATTTTGAACATATTTTAATGTTGATTTTGAAATATTTTTAAATAATTCATTTTTTGATAGTATATATGAATCTAAATAAACTGGAACTAATTGACCTTGATCATATAACATTTTTTCAAAACTATAAAATAATAATAGTTAATACAAAATAATAATAATAAAAAATTTTAAATATACTTACTGTGGTATTTTCCAATCAGGTGTAACAGAGTATCTATGAAAGCCAAAGCCAATTTGATCATATATCCCGCCATATGCCATCTTTGATAAAGTGAAAAATAACTTTTCTAATATTGATTCTTTTGATGATTTTAATTGTTCTTGAGTCGATGCGGATAAAAGGAAATTAAAAATACTGCATCTTGGGAATTTGGGTGCATCTGTAAAACCACCATCATCTGGATCGTAGCCTTTTAATATTTGCTCAATACATTTGCTTACAGTTTCTTCTGATAGTGCATTGTCTAAATTACCTTTTGGTTTATCTTCTTTTAAATATTCAATAAATGAATTTCCTCTTTCTATTACCGTTTCTCTATCATTTTTCCATATTTCATTTAGTTTTTTACATAGTTCTGGGAATGCTGCTCTACCAAATTTTGGTTCTGGTGCAAAGTCTAAATTGTTTAAAAACAAATGTAAAAAAATTATGAAATAAATCTAGATTGATTAATAAAAAAAATACTTACATGTTCCAGCTGATATTGGTTGAAGAGATGGTGTAAGCCAAATGCTCATTGGCCAACCACCTCCGCCAGTGGTCTCAGTTAAAAAAGTCTAGTTTAATAAAATTTAAAAATTAATAATTTTTTATTTATTTATAATTATTAAATAACTTACCATATATAATTTATCAATATCGGGTCTCTCTTCACGGTCAACTTTAATATTGATAAATAGGTCATTCATTACTTTTGAAATACTTGGGTTTTCAAAGCACTCTTTATGCATTACGGAGCACCAATGACAAGCCATATAACCAACACTAAGGAAAATTAATTTGTCTTGTTTTTTTGCTAATTCGAATGCTTCATCACACCATGGATACCAGTTAACGGGGTCATGTGCATGTTTGATTAAATATGGTGATTTTTCATTAATTAATTTATTTGTATATTTATATTCTTTATTTGTTGTTGTTGTTGAAAATTTTGACATTTTAAATTTATTATTTAATAGATTGTAATTATTTAAATAGTTATTCGATTTTAAAAAATTATAATTATAATTATAGTTTTTAATATTATTATTATATAGGTTTAGAATATTTAAATGGTTTCTATATTTTTGAACTTTTTGAATATTTTTTAAAATATGATTCATTTAATGATAATAAATATTTTATAAAAAAAAAGTGGCAAGTTGCATTGGTTAAATTGGTTTATTGTTAATGTTGCCAAAAGTTTATGAAATTAATTAATTAAAAAAAAATTAAAAAAAAATTAAAAAAAAAAAAATTTTAATTAAAAAATAAAAAAAATAAATTAAATTACTTTTTGTTATAAATAATAGTATTATTATTTAGATTTATAGTTAAATATAAATAATTGTTTTTTTTCTATTTTCTTTTTATTTTCTTTTTTTTTTTTTTTTTTTTTTTTTTTTAAAAAAAAATTATTTGTAAAATTTGTATTGTTTTTTTTAATTTAATAATCAAATTATAAAATAAAATATTTATTTAAATATACAATTATTTTTTTTACTTTAATTACAATATTTAAATAATTAAAATGGTGAACTTCAACATTAATTTTATATTTTTTTTTTTTTATTTAATTTTTTTTTTTAATTTTATTTTTTTTCTAAAAAAAATTTTTTTTTTTTTAATTTTTTTTTAATTTTTTTTTAATTTTTTTAAATTAAAAATTACACCTTCACCTTTTTTTTTTTTTTTTTTTTTTTTAATTTTTAATATTTTTCTATCAATTTTTTAAAATATATTGTTTTTAATTATAAAATAATTATTTATTATTTAATAATTATTTAATAATTATTTATTTTTATATATATTATTTGTAAATAATTTCTTTTCTTATTTTTAAATTTTTATAATTAACATTTTTTTTTAAACTATAAAATAAATAAATTTATATAAAAAAAAAAAAAGGGATAATAAAAATTTATAATGGGTAATAATCAATCATCAGGACAAGGTGATAAAGATCAAAAAAAAGATCAACCAAAATACCAACCACCACCACCACCAACCCAATTTGGTAAAAAGAAAAAGAGAAGAGGAGTTGAGACATCAACTAAATTACCAGTTGTTACACCACACACCAAATGTAAATTAAAACTTTTGAAATTAGAACGTATTAAAGATTATTTATTAATGGAACAGGAGTTCCTTCAAAACTATGACCTCAATCAACCAAAGGTTGAAGAGAATAGCAAAGAACAAGCTGATGAAAAAATCATTGAAGAGCTTCGTGGTGATCCATTAACTGTTGGTTCTCTTGAAGAGATTATTGATGATAATCATGCTATTGTTTCCAGTACAGTTGGTCCAGAACATTATGTCCGTATTATGTCATTTGTAGATAAATCAAAATTATATTTAGGTGCAACTGTTTTATTAAATAATAAGACCCTTTCAGTCGTTGGTGTAATCGATGGTGAGGTTGATCCAATGGTTAATGTTATGAAGGTAGAAAAAGCTCCAACAGAATCTTATAGTGATATTGGTGGTCTAGAGTCGCAAGTTCAAGAAATGAAAGAGGCAATTGAATTACCACTCACTCATCCAGAACTCTATGAAGAGATTGGTATTAAACCTCCAAAAGGTGTTATCTTATATGGTGAACCAGGTACAGGTAAAACTCTATTGGCCAAAGCTGTTGCCAATCAAACATCTGCAACTTTTCTTCGTGTTGTTGGTTCAGAGTTAATTCAAAAATACCTTGGTGATGGTCCAAAATTAGTTCGTGAATTATTTAGAGTAGCAGAAGAATGTGCTCCATCCATTGTATTTATTGATGAAATCGATGCAGTTGGTACCAAACGTTATGATAGTCAATCAGGTGGTGAACGTGAAATTCAAAGAACTATGTTGGAACTTTTAAATCAATTGGATGGTTTTGATGCCAGAACCGATGTTAAAGTAATTATGGCCACAAATAGAATTGAAACTTTAGATCCAGCCCTCATTCGTCCAGGTCGTATTGATCGTAAGATTGAATTCCCACTTCCAGATATTAAAACTAAAAGAAAGATCTTTGAAATTCATACAGGTAAAATGAATCTTTCTGAAGATGTCAACCTTGAAGAATTTGTAATGTCTAAAGATGATCTTAGTGGCGCTGATATTAAAGCAATTTGTACTGAATCCGGTCTTTTGGCTCTTCGTGAAAGAAGAATGAGAGTCACCCACACTGATTTCAAGAAAGCCAAAGAAAAAGTTTTATATAGAAAGAGTGAATCTGGTCATGTTGAAGGTTTATATATGTAAAACAAATTTGTTGATATCAAGAAGAAACAAAAAATAAAAAAAAAAACAAACTAAAAAAAAAACAATAAAAAAAAAATATAACTCTTAAGTTATTTTTAAATATTTTAACTTATAAAATTATTTATTTAATTTTTTATTCAATTGTTTAAATTATTTATTTTTTATATATTTTTTATTTTTTATTTTTTATTTTTTTATTTTTTCTAATTTCATTTTTTTCATTTTTTTTTTCATTTTTTTTTTTTTTTTTATTAAATTATTTTTTTAATTTTAAAACAAAAGTATAAAGAGGCAATGACATCAATAATTATTGATGAGGATGAAAATATTTTTTCAAGTATAGTCTCAAATATTAATATTGGAGAGTCAAATAATAATGTAGATGACAGTTTTTATTACAGCAAAACATTATTAAATCCAAGTGTAATAACTCACACTGTCAAAGGAAATTTTAGAAATAAATACAACTATAACAAAGAAAATAAAATTCAAGAACTAATATTTATAAAAGAGAACTGTATAGAGTTGGTCCAATACTTTGAAGAAAGTCAATTACTAGAATCAATAAATTCACAACCATCATTTTCAATAATAAAAGATGTTAAAGTTTTAACATTACCAACATTTATAACTAATAATAATAATAATAATAATAATAATAATTATAATAATAATAATGATATTTTAACATTAAAAAATAACGAATTAAATGATAATATTGATCAAAATTGTAAAGAAAAAGATTTTTTAGTTATTACATCTGATTCTGGATATTTATCAATTTTAACATGGTCAAATATTAAAAAACAATTCATCTTTGTTCAACATTTAAGAATTTCACCCCCAGGTTATAGTTTTAAATATTTGGGAGATAAAATACAAATTTCTCAATGGTATTTATATAAATTTAAAAAAAAAAAAAAAAAAAAAAAAATATTTTCATTTTTATATTAATATATTTTTTTTTTTTTTTATTAGTAATAGAATTATAGGTGTTTCAGCATTAAAAAATAAATTATCATTATTTTTAATTAATAATAATAATAATAATAAAGATTCAGTTTTAATCATTTCAAAAAAAATAGATATAAAAGATTTAGATGGTGATATTTATTCATTTAATTTTAGTTATGAAAAAGATGACCCATATTTTTTAACATACAATCACTGTTTTATAAATATTTTAACAACCAAAGATAAAAATCAAATTATTTCAAAATTTCAATTTAATTTTCAAACAAATACTGTTAAAGAAATTAAGAAAAATAATAATTTAATACAATCCCAACAACAATCATCCCAATTAATAAATTACCAATTTATAAATATACCAAAGATTAATTTTATAAGTTCATTTAATTTTAATTACTATTTCTTATTATTATTAAATGTTAGTAAAAAAAAAAAAAAAAAAAAAAATTTAAATTTATATTAACTTTTTTTTTTTTTACCTTAATTATTTAGAATAAAATTATTTTTACAAATTCAAATTTCGAAAAGTTAAAAGAGATTACTATTAAAGAAGATTGTGATGATGAAGAATTTAGAACTATTATTGATGATGAGGAGTATGAAGAATATTACTATAAAAAGCAAAATAAATTAATAACATGTTATAATTGGCATCAAATCGAATCAACACTATATCTTTTAATAGGAAATGAAATGGGTAATTTATATGGTATCGAATTTACATTTGATTCAAATAATTTTAAATCATCAGCAACAAATTTTAACAGTTTTAAGAAGTTTAAATTTAAATTTAACCCAATTCAAAATTTAATAAATTTAAATAATGGTTATTTTGGTATCATTGGCGATTTATCAGATGGTGGAATTTATAATATTGTAAGTATAATTATTAATTTATGTATATAAAATAAATATTAATAGTTTTTTTTTTTTTTCAGGATTTTAATAAATATGAAATTAATGAATGCGAAAGAATTGAAAATCATTCAGGTATTATAGATTTTGAAATTCAAAAACAAAAGTTTACAACAAAGATTTATACTTGTTGTGGTGGTTCAAATAGTTTTGGTTCAGTAAAGGTTATTGAAAATAGTATTCCAACACATATATTACATCATGAAAAGAAAAGAATTGGTGCAATTTATGTTTGGAGTTTTAGTCCGTACATTGTAATTGGGTATCCGTCAAGTACAGTGGTCGAAAAAGTTTCTGTGGCTGAAGAAGAGGAAGATGATATGTTCTCTTTAGATAATATTTATTTCATTGAAAATCAAGCAACTATTTATTGTTATAGAACTAGTGATGGTACATTTGTTCAAGTTACACCAAAGACGATTGTATTATATAATAATAAATATTCAAAGAGAAAAGAATCATACCGTTGGGATGTAGGCGAAAATAGTATTATAACCAATGCATGTTCAAGAGATGGCTTATTACTAGTAGCAATTTCAAAACCAAATTCAATACAAAGTTTTAACATTGTTCAAGATGACTCAAATGACCATGGTTTATCACTAAAGCTTTTAAATTCAATCCCATTAGAATTTGAAGTCTCTTGTATTTCATTACCAAAATTTAATGAAAATGAAATTTTAGACAAAGAAAATCAAATATTCAATACATGTATCGTTGGCACCTATTTAATGAATATATTTATTTTAAATTTTAAATTTAATAAAATATTATATTCATTTAATGAGACAGAAGAAAATCAAGTTATAAATGCTATACCAAATTCGATTTTATTAAGTATTTTAAATCAATTAAATCAAAATCAACAAAAATCAAATCATTTAAATCAACAACCAGAAAAAAAAAATAGAGATGAAATTAATTTTAAATTGATTTGTGGTTTAAGAGATGGTTTATTATTAAAATTTGATATTTTATATAATTTACATTCAAATTGTTTTAAAGTTTCAAAAAATATTTATTCAAAATCTATTTCAAGTTCACCAGTCACAGTTCTATCAGTATTGAATCAAGGTGCAATGGTATTAACAGATCAACCATATTATATTACAAGTATCAAAAATCATATTAGCCTATGTAAAATATCTTTCAAAAATGACAAAATGATTTCATACTGTTCTTTATATTACTCTGAAAATTCAAGACAAAATTTCTTATTTGTAAATCCAGAATTGGGTTTATATTTAGCAAATATAGATTTTTCAAAAAAAATGAGTGTAAAAACTCTTTTATCAAATAATCAAAATCAACAATATCAGAATCAAAATCAACAATTTCAAAATCCAAATAGAATTTTATTAATTGAAAAATATAGTATATTAATTATTTTAAACGATTTTAATATTTCAGTATTGGTTTTATCAGATCATTTAACAAATTATAATAGTAATAGTCATATATTATCACAATCATCATCATCATCACAATTAGAAATATTTAATAATAATGAATTATATTATAAAAAAATCTTTCAAACTAAAGATAGTTTAAATTTTAAATCAAATCATTCAATTAAATATTGGGAACAAAAAAATTTAATTATAGTTTATGGTAATAATAAAAATAATGGTACTATTTATTTTTATTCAATTCAATTTAATCATAAAAGTAATTGTGGTAGTGAAGAGATATCTTTAACTTTGGAAAAAAAGAGAACATTTGATAAACCAATATCTTCAGTATTACCATTTGTGGATGGCAAATATCTAGTGTTTACCACTAAAGGCAATTTAATGATTGATTATAATAGTGGTGTTCAATCAAATTCAGAAGATTTAAATATTCAAATTACAACTCCATTCCCAGTGACAATTTCCAAATTTAGAGCATCAGATAATAAACTATTATTAGGTACAGAAACTAATGGTTTGGATGTTTATAGATATAATCAAGAGGATAAATCTTTCACTCATTGTTCAAATGAAAAATCAAAATTCATATCAGATGCAATCTTTCTATCAACTGATGATCAAATTGCAACTATTGATAAATATGGTAATTTTAAAAATTTAAATTTAAATCAAAGTAATGAAATTTTAAACAATTTAAATTTAATCCAAGTCAATAATCAAATTAATCAAGTTAATCAAATGAATCAAGAGCTTAACCAGCCAATAAATCAGGAACCTCAACAACAACATAATAATAATCAAGAGCAACAACAAATTCAACAATTACAACAACAATTACATAGTATACCAATAATTTTAGATCCTATAAATCAATTTAGTTTAAAAGAATCATGTTTAAAATTGCTCCAACTAAATAATTCAAAAATTATAACTTGCTCTTTATTGGGTAGTGTTATTTTATTTGGAAAATTATCAAGAGTTGAATATAAAGTTTTATTAACAATTCAAAATAGTTTAAAAAATGATAAAAGTTCAAAACCAATTACAAATAATGACCACAACCTCTATAGATCAGAAATTTCAAATTGTAAAAATGTTTTAGATGGCGATTTATTATATCAATTTTTATTTTTAGAAGAGATTGATCAAATTAATTTAATTTCAAAATTATTTAAATTAAACGATATTAATAATACAAAAGTTTATTTAATCTTAACTAAAATTTTAAATTTATTTGAAAATTTTAAAATTCTTTAGTCACTTAAAAATAAATAAATTTATAATATTACTGTATTATTTTTCTATTTTCAGATTTTTTTATTTTTTTTAATTTTTTTTTTTTTTTTAATTTTTTTTAATTTTTTTTTTTTAAACAACAATGATAATTCACCAAAATAACCTTAGTTTAAAATGGAATAATGAAATAAACGAAATAGCAAATTTATTTAATAATAATAATAATAATAATAATAATAATAATAATAATAATAATAATAATAATTATAATTATAAATTATTTAAATTAATAATAAATAATATATATATAAAAAAAATTATATTTTATCATCTTAAATTATTTAATTTATTTTATTCAGAACAAACTTTTAATTCTTTAAAAGAATTATTATCATTTCAATTTAAAGATTATCTTTATGAAGTTAATTTAATTAACTATTGTAAAGAAGATGGTGACTTGGAATTATTATTACCAAAGAATATAGAATGTATAAATTATTTTAAAGAAATGACCTCAATCCCAACTTGTATCAAAAAAATTTATATTAATTCAGAAATTAATAATTCAATTTTAAATAGTACAATAAATTTACAATCAGTTTGTTATAATTTTAGTTTTAATAAAAGTAAAGCTTTACTTTTGTTCCCTAACTTAATTACCAAACTATACTTATCAAATCCATTTTTAAAAAATTCAAATACACTACCAAAAGGATTAAAGGCACTGACTCTATCAAATATAGACCCCAATAAAATAGAGAAAAGAGTTCTTCCAGAATCTTTGGTAGAGTTGTATTTATATGATATATTACCATTGGAATCAGATTATTTATCAACACCGAATTTAAAAGTTTTAAATATTTCAAGCGATAAAGCAAGTTTTTTAACTCAAGATTTAACATTTTTAAAATCATTAACATTTTTAAATTTTAAATGTGAATGTTTGGATTATAAATTACCATTAACTTTAAAGCAATTGATAGTAAGAACATTGTTTATTGATGATGATGTAATACCTCAAGGTTTAGAAAAATTAACTATTAGAAATTTTCGTGATCACCAGCTCCCAATTAACTTTACTCCAAGAATTATACCTAGAAGTTTAAAATCATTGGAGATTCAAGGTTTAAATCATTTAACAAATTCAATTTTACCAAGTACTCTAGAAAGTTTATTTATAATTGGCGATTTTAATTGTAAATTAGAACCAAACCAACTTCCTCATAGTTTAACGTGGTTACAGTTTGGTAAAAGCTATTCAAGCCCAGGAATTTTTAATAACGGTGGTCACCCATTACTTCAAGATGTTTTCCCAGATTCTTTACTCCATCTCGATTTAGGTTCTTATTTTAACCAAACTATTGGTGTAAATGTATTACCATCTTCATTAAAAAAGCTCATCCTTGGTTCTGGCTTTGACAAAGATTTAGGTGATTCAATACCACAAAGTTTAGAATATTTAAAAATCAGAAATTATAGGTATAATAGATTTCCAATTAAATTAAAATATCCAAACAAAACAATAATAGACTCTAAAAAATGTTATCTTCATTATCAACACTACCCAGAATCACTATATGCACTCAAAATATCATCAAAATTAAAAAAATATTCACTTTTAAATAAAATAAATTTAGAATATTTGGATACAGGTTACTTAACAGAGTTAGAGTTAAACGAAATTCCAATTCATAATAATATAAAAACTTTATTTTTAGGTTCAAGTTTCCAACAAATTATAGACCTCGAAAAATTTAAAAAATTAGAGACTATTATCATCGATTTTACCTTCAATAAAATAGAATTTAAAAATAATCATAGTTATTTCAATTTAAAAACAATTTTGGTTATTTGGGACAATAAAGAAGTGTTTTCAAAAATAGATCCAATTCTATTTCAATTTATACAACTATATAATTATAAAACCGATAAAAATATATTTTATAATGATATTTAAATTAAAATTAAAAGTGGAATCGAAAATTTACAAAATAAAGTTAAAGTAAATTCAAATATACAATTTAATTTTCAACAAAAAAAGAAAAGTTTTTCAAACAATAAAAAGATATTATCAATTTCAAATATAATGAAAAAAAATTTAATAAAAATAGTTTTCTTTATATCACAAAAGAAAATTTTTTATGTAATATATTTATTTAACAAAAAATATTATCCTTTTTATATCTTTTTTTTATTGGGCATTTTTGATTAAATAGTATCGCAATTTTTAAAAAAATCATGGAATTATTCAAAAAAATACATAATCAATTTTAGAATTTTATACAGATAAAAATAAAGTACCTGAAAGGTTATTTATATTTGAATATCTAAAGATAGTGAAACTATATTTAGAAGAAGGGGAATAATATTCAAGTTGATCCATTACAAAACATGAAAAGCACATTATTTTTATTCAATATTTTTATTATATGTTACTATTGTTTATTATTGAAGAATTGGTTGTTTCATTTATAGGTCTCGTGGTATTTGAAATTGCAGAGCTATTTTCAGAAAGTTTTAATGCATTTTTAGATTTACCAACTTTATATTTACCATTTTTATGTCTTTTAATTCCATCTTTGCTACTACTATTATTATTATTATTTTTATCATTTGGATTAAAACAATACATTATACTAACTACTGGAATTACCTCTGTAATGACTAAACCTATGAAGCTAAATGTCATAGATGATATGTCAGTAGCCAACACTATAACAAATATGCAATGTAGTAAGAAACCAACTGAACATATAGTGGATAATATAAAAATTTTTTTCTGGTGTTTAGTATTTGAAAGGTTTTTTTCACTTGTTGATATCGTTTTATAAAGATTTCTGCCTAAATAGATAAATGCAGCGGAAATAACAAAACTAAGACCCGCTTGCACAATAGCATAAGTTAAATTAGTCGCTTTTTGTGAAGGTGAAGCTTCTTTAGCAGTGACAACACGACCAGCACAATCGTATGCTGGGGGTAATGGAGTGTATTGAAATACCAGTACAATGGCAATAAAGAATAAATATAATATTATATTAACAGTGATAACAATTGAATATAATTTTTTTACAACTCCAGTTCCAATATTATTTTTTAAAAATAAAAATACGATTGTGTACCATAAAACTATTAATGAACTAAAGGCTGTAAAATAAATAAAAGTGGGTAAAACCACTAAAATATAATCTAAAACTGGGTTATCTTGAAGTTTACCTTGTAGTAAAAAATAATAATATTAGTGTGTGTTTTTAAGATTTTTTTTTTTAAATATAAAATTTAAAAATTTACCATTAACTAATAAAAAGAAATATATAGTTCTTATTAAAATAAATAGTGTTACAATTAAAATTAATATTTGAATCAATTGGAATTGGATTATTATTTTTTTAAAATAAAATATGATTATTGTTATAATTTCATATAAACCAAACAAAGAAATCAATAAAAATATTACAGCCAGAATATACATTAAAACCTTAGTTTGTTTATCGAAAATCTCCTTAGTCATAGTTTTCCAATCTTTATCATTTATACGAGAAATTAAAAAGTAAGTTGGATCACCTTTTGGAACATTTGAGACTTTTAAACAGATATAAACACTATCAGTACTATTAATATTGCCTTTTGGTATTTCCAATGGTAAAGGTGATGTTTTATTATCAATTTGAAAAGCAATATCTATTACTGGGAAATCACCATTACTGTTTCCCAATAATTTATTTTTAATAAAACAAATCTCCACTTGGTTAATACCTTCACTCGATTGAATCATTAAACCATCGCTCATCAAATAACCAATAGTAGCATTTTTTGAATTAAAAAGAGCAAAGCTTGGAGGTTTTTTATATGATACAAAATTGGATGCTAAAGTTTCTGGAGTTGATGATGTATACCCTTGTTTACTAACATGTGATAAAGTTATTTCTTGACAAGTTTGATTACTTGCAGTTCCATTAAATAAAGCTTTACCAAAATCAAATATTGTTTCATGTATCCAGCCTGAGCATACATTTATTTGTAAAATCAAAGGAGCATCTGATAATTGGAAACATTGTGAGATATTACCTTGAGATAAATTATTGTTTTCAATACAACTACACAATACTTTTTCCATTGATAACTGAGCTTTTTTATTTCTACAAATATTTTCGGTACGATAAAACTCATTAAGTTGATAGAAAAATGTTTTTTGAACCGAGTTATAAAAAAATTGATAATCAAATGTATTTGGACTTTTTTTATTTGAAATATATTGGTTATTGATCCATTTTGGTTTTATATAAACACCTGGTTTCCATGTACCTGCATTCCAATTATACTTTGGATACCATTCATTAAAAGAATCAACACCACATCCATTACAAGTGTCTTCGTTCATTTCATTAAATTTAAAATTAAATGTGAACATAAATGGAATTTGGTTTAACATAGTTTTGCAACCATACTTTGAAATACAATCTTCTTTTGTTAATGCTGGACTCCACCATTTAGAACCTATATTTTCTTCACATTTCGCTTTTGTAAAATGTTTTGGTCGATTACTGTAACAACCTTCTGGTGAATCATTTTCATCATAATTGCATCGAATCGATTCTTCAATGTTAGAGTGTTTCCCAACACATTTGCCCAAACCATTAGGATAAAGTGGATTAGAATCTGGTGAAAAGAAATATTTATCAGAGCATTCACCAGCTATTGACTCGCATTGAGCTTTGTTACATTTGTTAGAGTACTTTGTAGTGCAAACCAATGGAAAATCATAACCCCCACTACACTCTCCAACTAATTTTGAGCCGCAATCTATCCAATCAAAATTATTATTTTTGCAGGTCTCTTGGTCGAATGTAAGTAAGCAGATTGTATAGAATTTTAAGTCTAAAAATTTACCATTTTTATCTAAGCATGTTTCGTTCGAAGTATTTATGAAACACCCAGAATCAACACCATCGAAAATAGAGGTACATGAAATATCACCACAATTATTATATGAGCACTCCCCATAAGTTTCAGTACATTCTTTTTCAGTTTTTCCTGTTAAAATTTCACCATTTGGTAATAAGCATAGTGAACTTTGATTTTCGCAATCCCTTTGGTTGGTAACACTATTTAAATTATGACATTGAGTAAGATTTTCATCACTACAATAACCACAAAAAGAAGCTGGTTCAGCATTACATTGGTTTTTACATTCTAAAGAATTGGTACAGGGTAAACTTTTGCAAAAACCAAAATTGTCACAAGGGTCTCTAGGAGTTTTTTCAAAAGATAATTTTGTTAAAAAATCAAAATTAATATCATGTTTGAGAAAACATGTTGAATCTAGACAGCCATAGTTTTTATTGTATCTATCTTCCAAGCCAGGTGAAAAAAATGAGTATGTTGAACGATCCATAATTGATTTACTACCAACACAATCCGAGGATAAATGATCATTATATAAAGTATCGATTGTATCACTATTGAATGATGTTGAATTTGTAAGATAAAAAAGAGATGAAATTGATAAATTTTCTAAAACACATTTTATGTAACTTTTATCAATACTTTCGAAATCAGCTATACATTCTCTGGTATACAAATTACATTTTTTAATTTTGCCATAATCTTTACAATCTGAATCTTTTGAACAAATAGGTGATATTAAAACGTCCTTACATCCTCTAATTGTTTCTGTTGTTGAATAGGCAAGTTTTAAAACCGTAAATGATGAAGTTCTGCATACATCAGCCCTTTCCATCCATAGGGCCGTCTCATACTCTTCTAAAACAGATTTGGTGCATTCAGCACTTAAACATTCATTATTGATCAAATCATTATTGAAATCAATAGTCTGTATAAATGTAACATTAATTGGTGAAGGATTACAGCATTGATAATATAATTGGGTAGGGCTACAACATGGGTCGGTGGCAAACTCTGGATCTCTTGCTGAATACATACATTGTTTTATTGATATCTCTTCTGTTTGAAGTTTGTTGATGAAATAATTATTAACTTTATCTCTGCAGTTCATCCAAAAATCAGTTGAATATAAATAATCTAAATTGAATATTAAATTTATTGATTCTGAAATATCATTTGTTTCTGATAATTTTTTTTTGATATTATTAATATATCCAATAACCAATTTAAATTCATTAACATCACATTCTAAACTTGAATAAACTTGATCAAATTTTATACTTAATTTGATTAGCTAAAAAAAAAAAAAAAAAAAAAAAAAAAAAAAAAAAAATTAATAAATTTTGCAAAAAGAAAATTTTTTTGGGACATAATTCGAAAAAAAACATACCTTTCCATCTTTATCGTATAAAGACGAATCTAAAACTAAAGTTGACTTTTTAATTATTTCGAAATCTTGAAATTTAATATAAAAATCAATATCTTTTTGTGATAGTATAAATGAAAACTGATAAGAGTTTGGTTTAAACTCATTTAAAGCGGGTACTATTAATTTAATTTCTTTATAAAATTCACTATATATATTAAATGATGGTGTCCAAATAGGATTTAAAAATTTTGATGGGTATAATGGTGAAAATGCTGTTTTTGTTGGATCTGATGAAATAGCTGGGGTAAAATATGTATCACCATTTGGTAAAACTAATTTTGATGAACCTTTCAAAGCTAAATAACCTGACTGAGGAGAAAGTTCCGAAACTCGACGTAGATATTTATTACCTTGATTCTGAACAGTAAAAATATATGAGGGTGTATTTGATGGAGTCACAGTAATATAAATTCTTAATGGGTGGGTACTATTTATTGGTTCTAAATATAACATTAAATCATTATCAGCTGAAAAATTAAATTTAAAAAATTTTCAATATTATTAATAAAATATTTTGGCTATTAGGAATGTTTTTTATGTATTATATACCTTCTTCGATTGATCTCCAATCACAATTCTCTAATGTTGGGAACCTGTTACTTGAATTTTTAGATATATATAAAAATAATTGAGGAGATGCAGGTAAAGAAGGGGCATTAAAATAATAAAAGTCTGAGGTAAAAATATCAATATAATAATTTTTAATACCACTTGAAAAAGAATTATAATTTAAATTTAAACAAAAGATTTCTCCTATTCCTGGATGATTTTCATTTTCTTTACACTTGTAACTTGGGTCTAATATATTACTATCGATTTCAATGGAATATAAAATTATAGAAAAATTATACATTTCAGAAAGTGGAGTAATTTCAAAAATGTAGGTATCCATTGTCCAAGTATCTAAAAAAAAAATTAGTAATTATAAAGAGAAAAAATATTTTTTAAAATTTAAACATTTACTTAAATTAAAGGGAGTTAACTCTATGGGGCAAAATTGTAAAAGAATATTTTTTTGCCCAGAAACAGTTCTTGAACTTGTAAAACTACCTCCTTTAACAGTACCATAACCATCATGTGAGTTAATTTTGGATGATAGGCCCATACAAACTTTTTCCTTTGGTATATATCTAAATTGAGTAGTTTTTTTGATTGAAAAATTATAAATATAATTTATTTTATCAAGTACCTCCCAATCACCTGTACACACCGAATCTTGATAATCTGGACACCTATCACAATTAGTACCAATCTGTTTGGGACAGTTATCTTTGTCTGTAAAATCGCATGTACAATCTTTTAATAGAGTATCGTTAATTGTAGAAGGACAAGTAAACTTTGGACATGATACCCAATCATAATAATACAATTCATCTGATAACTCTATATCACCAATTGCATAATTAGATTTTACACTGAGTGAATATATATTATTCTTTTCGACAATATTAGATTTTAAGACCCTTGTTCCTAATTTTTATAAAAAAATAAAAAAATAAAAAAATTTCTTTTAGAATCAAATCACCATATTTTTCTGTTTCTAAATTATAATACCTTTAATAGCCAAAAAATTAAAAAAGATAAAAAACAATATAATAAAAAATTTCATTGTATTTTTCATGTTATATAAAAAAAAGATTTGAAGAATTTAAAATAAAAAAAAAAAAAAAATATTGTTTTTAAAAAATAAAGTTAAAAATAAAAAATATGTTCCAAAAACGGTTTTTTAAAAAATTGCGATATATTTTTTTAGTATATGAGCAAAAAAATCTATTTTTTCTTTGAATTTGAAAAACATGGTTGGAATCACTTAATTTATATATAAATATTTTTTTTTAAATTTTATTTTTGAAAAATTGGAATATCTTTGCAATTTTTTAAATAAAACCGTTTGTTTTTCATAATAATTTCACAATTATTTTTATGGGATCTTGAAAAATTGGGATATCTATGGAATTTTTTTATTATAATTTTTTATATTTCCCTTTGATATTAGTTGATTATTTATTTTGTTGTGTGAGTATGGAAATTCATCACTTAAAAATGATTTCAGGAAAGTTATTTATATAAAAAAAAATTATTGGTAAATGACATTTTATTAAGTTGATTTAAAAACTGTATATATGATTATAATTATTTTATTTGTTTTGAAAAAATAAATATTTAAAAAAATAAAAAAAATAAAAAAATTCAATTTTTTTTAATTTAAATTTTTTTTTTTTTTTTATAATTAACCAAAAAATTCATCTTGAGAAAAAATTTGAAAAAAAAAATAAAAGTTGAAATGTCAGATTAAATAATACATATTTGTTTATGTCCATATGAAAGTTGAATTGTGGAATTTTAGGAATAATGTAAGAAAAAAAAAAAGTCAACAGTATTTACAACATCTTCATTTCAAACATCAATCAATAAACCTTCAGATGTTAGTCACAGTACAATGAATAGCCGGTGTAGCAACAAAAAAATAAAACGATTTCGATATTTATTAAAAAAAAAAGAAGCTAAAATTTTTATGTGGTTGAAAGGGTCTCTATTTAAAAAAGTTATAGTGTAAAATGTAGGGTTGGTAATTGTTTTATTGTAACTTTAGGATGTTCATTATGAACATTATACATTTTAGTAGAATTTTTTGGGATAAATTAAATAATACAATCACTAATAATTTCAAAATAATCATTTATATAAATCAATAAAAATAATTATCGATGCTTCATAAAATCTCTTTTTTTTTAAAAAAATTTTAAAATTTTCAGTTTTTTTTTTTTTTTTTTTCAATTTATTTAATCATTGTATTAATTTACATTATTATTAATAATATATATTTTTAATGATAGAAAAAGATAATAAAAGTAATAAATTCTTGGTAGCAATTGTAGGAATTGGATTTCGTCTACCAGGTAAATCAAATAACCCTGTTCAGCTATGGAATAATTTAAAGAATGGTTTTAATGCAGTAGTTGAAACTACAGACCGTTGGAGTGATAATTTTTATGAAAGTGGATCACATGCGTCAAATTGTGCTGGGCTTCTTGAAGACAGTGAATGGAAACAATTCGATCCATCTTTTTTTGGTGTAAGTATTTTTCATCGTTTTATTTTAAAGTTTAATAATTCTAAAAAAAAATTTATTTTTACAATAGATAACATCAGAAAATGCAAAGCAAATGGACCCTCAACACAAATTATTATTGAAACTCACAGCAGAAGCATGCGAAGATGCAAACATATCACTATTTTCAATAAGAGGTACCGAAACATCTGTGTATATTGGTCAGTCAAGTTGTGATTATACCTATGCTAGTTTTAAAAATGACTCGGATAATATTAACATTTTCAACAAAACTCAATGTAGTGCAGCAAATAGAATTTCAAATACATTTGACTTAAGAGGTACTTCATTAACTATTGACACTGCATGTAGCTCTTCATTAAATGCGGTCCACTTGGGTTATAATTCAATTAAAAATGGTGATGAAGTTTCAATAGTAGGAGGAGTCAATTATATACTGGAGCCAAAAATAACAAATTATTTTACAAAACTATCAATGCTTTCTAAAACTGGTTCTTGCAAAGTTTTTGATAAAGATGCCGATGGATATGTACGTAGTGAGGGTGGTGGGGTTGTTATCTTAAAAAAACTTGACGCTGCCATTCGAGACAATAATAAAATATACTGTGTAATAAATGGAAGTGGAAGTAATGTAGATGGTATGTTAAATAAGCTAAATTATTTGGCACCATCAAAACTTGCTCAGGCTAATAATATCAAAAATGCATTTAAATCATCAAAAAATTCATTAGAAATTAATGATTTGGATTTTTTAGAATGTCACGGAACAGGTAATTATTTTTTTTATTATTTATTAAAAATTATATTTAGTTTAATATTTATGTTAAATTTCTAAAGGTACCCCCATCGGAGATCCCATCGAAACAGAGGCAATTTCAATTGTACTAAATGAATTAAATCGTTCAAAAGAAAATCCATTATTAATTGGTTCAATTAAATCAAATATTGGTCATTGTGAAGCATTTTCTGGTGTAGCATCATTAATTAAATGTTGCTTAATGTTTAAGAATCGAGAGTTTATTCATAATATCAACTTTAATAACCCAAATCCAGATATAAAGTTTAAAGAGTGGAATTTAAAAGTACTAACTCAACCAACACCATTCCCAAATAAAAATGTTTTAATTGGTATAAATTGTTTTGGGGTAAATAATTAATTTTTTTTTTTTAAAATATTTTTTAAAATTATACTAATATTATAATTTAATTATTCCAGATTACTGGTTCAAATTGTTGTATTTTATTAAAAGAATATAATAAAAATTCTAATCATAATGAAAAATTGGTTAAAGAAATAGATAATTGTTATTATTTAATTCCATTTTCAAGTGCATCAAAAAAATCTTTAGAGAACTATCAAGAATTAATTTTACATAATTTTTCAAATATTAGAAAATCAATTGATTTTAAATCTTTTGTTCAATATCAAATAAATTGTAAACCAACTCAATTTTTTCAAAGATCTGTAGCAATTGCTTCAAACTTTAAAGAGTTTAAAGAGGTTTTATCAAAAAAATTAAATTTTATTTCAAATAATGGTGAAAGATTTATAAATGATAGTATTGTTTCGACCAAATCAAATAGTTTATCAAATGTAAATACAAACTTTAAAAATCCTCCATTGGTATTTGTGTTTGTTGGCCAAGGGCCCCAGTTTAGCAAAATGCAACTCAATTTATATCAAAACAATGTAGTTTTCAAACAAAGTGTCGATAAATTAGATGGTATACTATCAAAGTATTATGGTTATTCAATTATGGAAAAATTAAGATCAATTAAAGATGATGATTTGGTATCTATAGGTGAACCTATTTTAGCTCAACCCTCATTATTTATTATTCAAGTATCTCTATATGAACTATATAAACATTTTGGTATTATTCCTTCAATAATAATTGGTCATAGGTAATTACAATTTTTTTAAATTTCATAAATATAATTATTTTTTTTAAATTTTTACTTATTATATTTTATTTTTAGTTTTGGTGAAGTTACAGGTGCTTATTGTTCAGGAATGATTTCATTAGAGGATGCATGTAAAATTGTTTATTATAGATCAACATTACAAAATCGATTAAATGGTACTGGAAGATTAATGGTTATCAGTTTATCTGAGGAACAATTTAAAAATCAATTCTCAAATAAATATCCATCCATAGAAATTGCATGTTATAATTCGGCAACTACCATTGTAATTGTTGGTAATGAGGATGAAATTAAAGAAATATCTAAACAACTAAACGAAAAACAAGTGTTTAATTTTATAATGAATACAACATCAAGTTTTCATTCCTCCAAACAAAAATTAATTAAATCCCAAATCCTGGAATTATTAAAAGACATAAAACCAAAGATACCCAAAATAACACACTTTTCAACAGTAACCACAAATCCATTTGATGAAATTACTTTATTTACTTCAGAGTATTTATATAGAAATTTAAGAAAACCAGTCTTTTTTCACCAAACAATTGAAAATATTTTCAAACATATTGAGGATAACAATCTCGGTACTGCACCAATTTTTTTAGAAATTACTCCACATAAAACTTTAACAGTTTTTATTAGTGATACAATTCGTCAAGAGTCCAATTATTTTAAAAAAGATTCAATTTCAATTCTATCACCACTAAATAAAAAAGAAACGAATGAAATGGTTAAAATAAATAAAACAATTTCAGAAATTTACTGTTTAGGTTATAATATCAACTTCAACTCACAATTTAATATCAGTGATTTAGAGAATATATCCAAAGTAAAGTCAAGTTTTAAAGTTTCCGATACACTACCACGATATCAATGGGATGAAGAAGATCATTGGGTGATAGATGCATCATTTAAAGATTACTTATTAAATGGCCCATCAATAAATCATTTTGGAATCGAAAATGATAATTTACCATTTATATCAAGATCAACATTAATAAACATCGATAAAAAAGGATTTAGTTATTTAAGTGGTCATCAAGTACGTAATAAAATTTATGTTCCAGGTTGTCTCTATATTGATATTTTAATTGGTATATTCAATGATCACGATTTAACAATTTCGTACTTGGAGTTTAAAAATCCGTTAATTCTAGAAACTGGTGAAAGTAAACATTTACAAACAAACCTAATCAAAATATCAAGAAATGAATATAAAGTTACTTTTCATTATAAAGATAACAAAGCTAATAAATGGGTTTTAACCTCAACTGGTAAAGTCTTATTGCTACCACATGGATCCACTTCAAATAATAAATATAATTTACAAGAATTTAAAGATAAATGTAATATTTCAAAATTAAAAAAGGATGAACTCTATTCAAATATCATACACTCATCTGGTTTAAATTATACAGGTGCTTTCAGAAGAATAGTCAAAGCTTATTATGGAAATGATTGCACATTTTCAAAAGTAGAGCTACATCAACAAGAAATTACAAACAACAACAACAAATTCTTTTTTGATCCATCCATTCTCGATTCATGTATTCAAAGCTTTATATCGTTTATTCAAGAAAAAATTCAAATGGTATTTCAAAGAGTTGAAAATTTTAAAGTCTATTCATCAAATATTCCAAAGAATCTAAATCAAAACTCTTATTTGTATTGTTACTCTGAATTTAAACATACATATGGTCAATTTTATCATGCAAATCTCAAAGTGTTTTTAAAAGATGGTACCATTTTATTAGAATCACCAGAGCTTGTATCAATGTCATTAAATGAAATAATAGATCCACTAAAGATTGAAATAGATACGGACTTGTACTCAAAGTATTCATGGCAACCAATCAACTCACCAATTAATAACAGTAAAAACTCTTTACCATTTGTATTTTTAAAAGGTGGTTTTAAAATTGAAGAAAACTATCAATATAAAAAAAAATCATCAAGTATAGGTATTTCAAAATTATTTTTTGATAATTTCAATAAAAGAAACCCAAGAATCACATACAATACTATTCAAGAGAAATCAATAGATCAATTATACAACGAATTTTATAAAATTAAAGACACAATAGTCAATAAAAGAAAATTTTATAGAGTTTTTGAAATTATTAAAGAAAACATTCAAATAATCAAAGAAGATAATTTTATCAATCCTCTAGATGATGAAAATAATTTTGGCGAATTAAAACTACTTTTACAGGAAACCTCAACTTTTATTTCTAAACAATTACTTCCATTGGAAAGTGAAGTTGAAGAAGATGAACATATTAATATTCAAAATGGTACAGTTGAAAAAATTTATAATATTCACTATCTAAAGAAATTATATGGAATTATCTCATGTGTAGTTAAAGAGTCAATTGAACCATTAATAAATGAACCTATTCATTTTCGTATATTAGAAATTGGTGGTGGGTTGGGTTGTTTGTCAAACCATGTCGTCGAAAAGATCAATCAACTTATTGACATATACCCTAATTATCAAATCGATATCGAATATACATTTACAGATATTTCCAGAGGTTTTATTGAAATTTCAAAGTCAAAATTGTCAATCAAAGAAAATATAATCACTTACAAGTTGTTGGATATCAACCAAACATTTGAATCTCAAGGTTTTAGAAATTCATATTTCGATTTTATAATATCATCAAACACTTTACATGTAGCTAGAGATTTAAGGTTCACAATTAAAGAAATTTATAAGTCATTATCACCCAATGGTCAATTAATTTTTATAGAACCTGTTTACAAGAATCCAGTAAATGATTGCTTTGTTGGTTATTTTGAACATTGGTGGTCACAGGCCGACACCGATTTAAGAAAAGACCATTGTACTTTATCAAACGAACAATGGAACAAACTTTTATACGAAGCTGGCTTTATAAATTATCAGTCTTTTGATTATGATTCAAATATCTGTTTTGTAAATAAAGCTATAAAACCAACATTTCATTTCAATAAAAATCAAAAACCAATAAAGGAACAAGAAGAGAACATAATTATTTATGGTAAAAGTTCAACATTCAAAAAACTATTTAATAATGACCATCAACTATTTAACAAATTTCATTTCATTGAAACTTTTGAAGAGATCGAATTAAATCAAAATTTAATAACCAATAATACAATTATATTTTTCATTTCAAGTATTGAAACATTAGAATTAAATCAAGTTAAACAAATCTCAATGGAATATATCAATGTTAATAAAATTCTATATTTAAATTCTCTATCAACTAAATTTATTGTATTATCATTAAACAGTGAAAAAGAAAGTTATAATTATCTAGTAGGTTCAATTCATGGGGCTATGAAGTACTATGGAGATTTTTCTTCTTTAAAGCTGTATTCATTCGATTTTGATAATGAATCATTCAATGATAATATTATAGTATCAATTATAAACTATATAGATTCAAACTCATTCTATCAAAGACAAGTTGCTGTTAGGAAACAAAACATTTTCTATGAAAGAATTTCACCTCATAGAAATTTGAAATTAAAATATAAATCTTCATCATTCGAAAATGAAATAACAAACTATAATGCAATTCTTGATGCAAACTTAAATTATAAACTACAATCAAGAGTTTTCAATATCAAGGATGATTATATTGAAGTGCACGTCAAGTCATATGGTTTAAATTTTAAAGATAATCTTGTATATCGTTCATTAATACCATTGGAACTAAGAAGTTCAAAAGGAAATGTAAACGAGCCAGAGTTTGGTATTGAATATTCCGGTGTTATTTCAAGAGTTGGTAGAAATGTTACAAAATATTCAGTTGGTGATTGTGTAATAGGTCTATCAAATTGTTCGTCATCATTTTTTATTTTATCACATCAAGATTTAGTTTTAAAAAAGCCAGAGAATCTGACATTTACACAAGCAGCATCTATCGCAGCTGTATTTCTCACCTCATACTTTTCAATTTTCAAAGTTGGAAACTATAAAAAAGAATTTAATGAATCAATTTTAATCCATTCAGCAAGTGGTGGTATTGGTTTATCAACATTATATCTATTAAAATATTTCAATATAAAAGCACCAATATTTGTAACAGTTAGCTCTGAAGAGAAAAAGCAATTTCTTTTAAATCACTATGGTTCAATTATAACTGCTGTTTATAGTTCAAAAGATTCAGATTTTGTTAGAAATATTAAAGAATTTTTCATTGAAAGGGGATCAAATAAAACTGGTGTAGATATAATTTTAAATACTTTATCAAATGAATTTATGGATTCAAATTTCAATTGTTTAAATCAAGGTGGTAGATTTTTAGATCTCAGTGTTACCCATTTAAATCCATACGAATTTACAGATTTTAACAAGTTTAAATGGTACATTTCATATCATTCCATAGAGCTCTTATATGTTCCATCAGAGAGATTAAAAGATTCAATTTGTGAATTATCGCCAATTTTCGAAACAATGGATTTCACACATTACCCAATCATAGAATATGACACCTCAAAAGTTAAACAAGCAATCAACTCAATGTCAAATAGGTCTCATATTGGCAAAATTGTTGTAAACGTTAATGAAAATTTAATTTCAAATATTTTCAATCAAAATAAAAAATATTATGATATGAATTTTAAAATTTTAAAATCAAACTATACAATTCAAAACCAAGCATTAGGTAAAACCATATTATTAACTGGCCAAACTGGTTTAATTTTAGAAATATTGAAATGGATTTTAAAACTCTCTAATGAACCAAAGAATATTATAGTTTTATCAAAATCACCAATAAAGTGGGAAATGAAAGTTACAATTAAAAAAAATTTAGGTAAACATTCAGTATTTTTCGAAAGTGTAGATATTTCAAATTGTAAACAATTAGAAGATACAATTGGTAATGTTATGAAGATAAATCAAATCGAAACTATAAATTCAATATTCCATTTTGCATTTAATACATGTACATCTCAACCTGAAGAAGTTTCACTAAATGATTTAAATATTACATTAGATGCTAAAGTCTTTGGTGCAATAAATCTACATAATCTATCAATTAAATATAAATGGAACATCATTAATTTTATTATGGCCTCTTCAATGGCATCTGCACTCTCATCACCTTTGCAATGTGCATACTCTTGTGCAAACAATGTAATTAATTTATTTTCAAACTATAGAAAGTCATTGGGCCTACCATCAACATCATTAAACTTGGGAAAATTCGATTCAAAGGGATATGTTTCAAGAAATGAAAAAGTAAATAATCTATTGGACGACTTTGGTTTGATTAGTGTTTCTCTCAATTCACTCCTTGGTATATTAGACCTATTAATACAGAATAGAAATCACGAACCAAATCAAATTTTAAATAGATTTGGTGAAAAATTATTTGAAACATTAAAATCAAATTCTTTTTCCTATAAAATGGATTATATTATAAATATCAAATCATCATTTTTATCAAAGAAAACAAATGTATTGGATGGAAATGAATCAGTTTATGATATTATTTTAACTTTAATTGCAAATAAATTTGGTATAGAAAAATCAAAAATTGATACAGGAAATACATTGGTAGAAATGTCAGCAGATAGTTTAATTTTGGTTCAAATCAAATCATGGATAGATAATGATGTTAAACAAAATTTATTTACAATTCCCCAATTGCAATCCTTAACACTTGGTACAATTATCAAAATAATAATAAAAGAAAAACCAAATTTACAATTATTAAAATCAAAATCAAAAGCAATATATAATGAAAATAATAGTAGTATAGAACCCAACACTCAAAATGAAAATGAACCAATTCAAACTATTAATAATAGTGAAAATAGATCAATTGAATTTTGGTTAAATGAATCAAAACTTGATGAATCAATTCAAATACCAACAAACATAATACATCAACAAGTATTAAGTTTAGAAAATACTGATCTGGTTATTTTTTGTACTGGTGCTACTGGGTTTTTAGGTGCCTATACATTATTCAATTTACTTTTGAAATCAAAATCAAAGTCCATTTACTGCTTGGTTCGAAATAAAAAATCAACTAAAGAATGCTATGATGCAGTAATAAACAACTTAAAGCACTACAACTTATATAACAAGATAAAAGAAAAATCGATTGACATTAATAGAATCAAACCAATTATAGGAAATTTAAATCAGGATAAATTTGGACTAACTCAAATTGAATATGACAATTTATCAATCGAAATAGATTTAATAATAAATATTGCAACTAATGTTAATTTAATTCAAGACTATGAAGAATTAAAACAATCAAATATTAATAATATTATTAAACTATCATGTCATAAAAAAATAAAAAAATTGGTTCATATATCATCAATTGCTGTATTTAATAATTATAATAATATTAATAATAATAATATTAATAATAATAATAATAATAATAATAATAATAATAATAATAATAATAATAATATGATTAGTGATGAAACATTACCAATTATTAATCAAGATATTAATTTTTTAAATGGATATATTCAATGTAAAATTATTCAAGATCTTTTAATAAATCAAGCATCAAATCTAAGTATCCCTTGTTTATTAATTAGACTTCCATTTTTATCTTGGGACCCAGAAAATGATATTTGTAGTAAAGATGGTTTAGATTCATTATTGATAAACTCAATTTATTCAACCAAATGTTACTTTGAAACCAATTCAATGTCATTATTTTCTCCAGTAACTTGGGCAGCAATCAACACAGTTAATTTGGTTTTTAACAAAAAAAGTTGGGAGAACTCTATCAATAATAAATTAAACTCTTTTAATTTATTAAGTGACAAATATAAATTCAGCTTAATACTCGAATCAATTGGTAAGAAATATTCTTTCGAAAAAGTTACTCTAGAAGAATTTACAACAAGAATTTGTAATTCAAGTAATAAATATTGTAAAAAACTATCAAATTATTCATCCTCAAATCCTTTTATACAATTGGAAAATTTAATTAAACACATCCAACTTTCTGAAAAAACAAAAGAACTTTTAATTTCAATGGGATCCTTTTATGGAAATGAAGTTACATTAAAATCAATTAAAAAATGCTTTATAAATAATTTAAAGTAAAGATTAAATAATTAAAAAAAATAATAAAAAAATAAAAAGTTTTATAAAATTTATTAAAAAACACAATATATAAAATAATTGTGGGGTGTTTTAATTGATTTTGTGGGCATCATTGAATTCCAATTATGAACTATTGTTTTATTTGTATTATAATTAATCTTTTAATATGGCTATACTTCCACAGTTTATAACTAATTTCTTTTAGTCGCTATTTTTATTTTATTTACTATCCTAAAATTCAAAAAGAGTAATTATGGATTATACTTTTTTCTTGTTACATTTAATCTAAATATTTAATAGAAAATAAAAAATATTTAAAATTGAGAAGCATTAGGTTGGCCTTTTTTATGTATACATATTTATGATGATACATAATGTTTATATTTAATTTGTTTTTTTAAATGTTACATTATTATTTATTATTTATAATTAAATTCTAAAAAATAAAAAAATAAACTAAAAAACTAAAAAAAAGTAAAAAAAGAAAAAGAAAAAATTACATTTTTTATTTTCTTAAATGTTTATTTTAAAAATTTATATGTTTAATAAACTATTTTTTATTTAAAAATTATTTTTTTTATATAATTTTAATTTTTGATTAATTTAATTCATTTTGATTATCTATTCTATATACCCTAAAACCCAAATGTAATGTAGTTATTATTTTTACTATTTATTATGATTGCTTTTACTATAACATAATTTGTACCATTATCTCCATTAGTATTATGAATAAATAAATAATCTATTCCAATACTTTTTACTGATAAAAAAATTCCGATTCACCTAATCTAACATAATCTAAACAAGTCATCATTTTTACTTTTATTTTTTATTATTATTATTATTAACAAGCTGTCTCTTATTTATTTAATTATATTACTGAATGTTTTAAAAATTGCCAAATATCTGTTATTTTATTTTAGATAGCTAAATAATCCAACTAAAAATATTACCAATATTTAAAACATAATTTTAAATTTCTTTTTAACTACAACTACTTTTTTTATAGATTTTATTTATTTTATTATAAATTTGTTTTTATTTATTATTTATTGTTTTTATTTTAATAATAGTCAAT